TGCTCTCTCTCATTCTCTCTCTCTCAAATAAATAAATAATAAAAAAAAAGAAATAAAGCAAGTCATTTCTTTTTTTTAACATATTTATTTATTTAAGATTTTATTTATTTGAGAGAGAGACAGACATAGTGAGAGAGAGCAAGAGCAAAGAGGAGAGGGAGAAGCAAGCTCCCCGCTGAGCAGGGAGCCCGATGCAGGGCTCAATCCCAGGACCCTAGGATCATGACCCAAGCCAAAGGCAGACGCTTAACCGACTGAGCCACCCAGGCACCCCAAAGCAAGTCATTTCTTTTTTTTTCTTAAGAAAAGATTCAATTTACCAGAAAGATAGAACAATTTTAAATTTCTATGTAGATAATAACATGGCTTTAAAATACATTAAATAAAAATTGATAATACAAAAAGGAGAAGGCAGTTCTCAGTTATAGTGGGAGATTTTAATACAACTTTCTTATTAACAAGTAAACCAACAGACAAAAAGACCAGGATACTCTCCACAACCTACTTCAGGTATGACCATGGAGAATAATGAACAAGGACAAAGCTAAAGTCCAGAGAGGACCAGGTCTAGGGCATTCCTCCCAGAATGCATAACCAAGGTCTGACACAAGGATTCCTTTACCCCAAGACAGGGAATCTGCATTTCTTGTTCAACACAGTATATCATTTCTATGCACCTGTGACTGCTAAATGCTTTCCATTCTTCCCCTTCCAAAACGGGAATTCTCACTGTAGGTAACCTGTTCCCACTCCACATTATATACTGAAAGCTGAGTAATGGTGGAGGAATTACATTCTGTTACTATATATACTGCTGGAGCTTGACCTGATGGAGAGGAGTACACACTACCCAGAGATGCTAGACTTTATTTTATATTCAGTGAATGGATTATACTTTGGGCTGTCTCTTGAGGGGAGATAGGAATGCATTCTATGTGTGTAAATAAGGGTATGCATGAATATTTAGATGGCCAGGGCTTTGGAAATGTCAGTTTGCTAATTGTTCCCTGTGTCCATTTTCCCTTTCTACATTTTAGTAACAGAGCCCCTCTGAGTGTGAGCTCATCACATGGTTGCCCAGCAAGATACTACATTTTCCAGTCTCCCTTGAAGGTATGTGTGGTCATATGACTGAGTTTGGACCAATGGGATATGAGCAGAAGTGATGTGTATTTATCTTTAATAAAGATGAAGCTTTCTTGGAGTGCCTGGCTCATTCCTTTGGTAGAGCATTCTCGGGGTTGTGAGTTCGAGCCTCACATTAGGTGTAGAGATTACTTAAAAAATTAAAAAATTAAAAAAAAAACTTCAAAAAAGATGAAGCTTCTTGCCTGGATTCGCACCACCACCACCCCGTGCTGCCCCAGTTGGGAAATGACAATGATTGGAACAATTCCTCGAGTCCTAAGAGGGATGCTGAGAATGGCAGAACTGAGAATGGCTATCAGCCTAGGTTCCTATGTACCTTAATGCAACAGAGCTGCCCTGCAGGCCCTGAACTGTTACATAAGAAAGAAAGAAGTTCATGACATGTATCAGCTATTGTGCTTTGGGGTTCCTTCGCTACAGCGGTTTTGCTTGTATCCTAACTAACACAGAGACGTGTTTCAGAGTAACAAAGGTCGGTGGGAAAGGTGAGAAAGAGGAGGAAGCAGTTGTTGGGATCCTTAATAGCAAGCTCAGGAGTCAGGATTTGAGGGGTTTGGGGAGGTGAAACACTGCAGAGGGACCGAGCGGGTAGTGCTATTGGTGGGGGGTGGGGAGGGAAGCTAATTAAATGGCTTTAGCTACCTCATGTGATTTTTATAATTCTTTATCTCCAGGAAAAAAATAATTCTGTATCTCCAGGCATATCTTTCTCCAGAATTCCATGCTCTTATTTCCAAGGGCTGGCCAGAATTTCTCTCTGGAGGTCTAATAGACTCCTCAAACTCAACATTTCAAAGCCTAGCTTTCTTCCCCAGAGAGCCTTTTCTTCTTGTATTCCCTGTTCTGGTTAATCATTGCTCCCTTCAATACCACTCTTCACTTAGTTGTCCTCACTAGAAGCTAGGATAACCCTAGATTCCTCCATCATCACACCCAATTTCTCAAAGAGAAAGTTTACTTCCGTTCTTTTTACTCATTTGACTATTCTCATTGCCAATGCCTTGATGTGGGTCTCCATTATCTCTTACCTCAAATGTTGCAGTATCCTCCTTTCTAACTGATCTTTCTGATTTCAGTTTCCCCCATGCTTCACATTGCTCTCAAGGCTATTTACCCAAAACACAAACTTGACCGTGTCACTTCACCTGTTTGTACACTTTCACCCATTTCCTATAAGCCAAGGAGCCCAGGCTTATAGGAAATGTACTGTACAGATGAGTACAGATCTGGTCCCTTTTGAACCCCTATCAAGCCCCTCAGTGCACTGTAGGCCCTGAGCACACTGGGCCTTGGCAGTGTTCTCTGCCTGGAAAGTTCTTGTCCTGTCCTTACTTAATGGACTTATACTCAGCCTTCAAAACTCAGCTTAAATATGGCTCATTGGAAAATTTTTCCAGGACCCTCTGGCTTAGTTGCTTAGTTATTCCCACCTCAATAACTGATAAGTGAATGAATGAATTAAGGATAGAATACTAAGAACTGAATCCCAAAGAACACACCTAGCAGAAAAGCAGACAATTTTAGAAGTATAGAATTTTACAACTGGAAAGGGAACTTACAGATTTTTTTTTTAAGATTTTATTTATTTATTTGAGAGAGACAGAGAGTGAGAGAGAGAGAGCACGAGCCAGAGGAGGAGGGGCAGCGGGAGAGGGAGAAGCAAACTGCCCGTGGAGCAGGGAGCCCTATGTGCTAGGGCTTGATCCCGTGACCCTGAGATCATGACCTGAGCCAAAGGGAGGTGCTTAACCAACTAAGCCACCCAGTTGCCTCAGGAACTTATAGATTTTAAAGATTATCTAAATGTGTTTATAGATAAGGTTCAGAAAAATTATATGACTTTCCCAGGATCAGAGAGCAGAACTAAAAGTAAGACATGGGTTTTCTGCTTCCATTTCTGGTGCTATTTTCCCACATTTTGCTGTGAAAGTGTTAGAGAATAATTGAATAGAAGGGTTTGTGTGGAAGATTGAGTTCAAAGGTTTGGACATTTTGGCTTGTGGACTAGGTTGTATTTGAAGTCAGATATGGAATGATCAAAATGTCAGTGTAACCTTGTCACAGAGATAATTATCTAAATTATGGGCCGTTTTCCCAGAGAAACAGATAGAGATCCTGTGTACATACCAATGTGGACATAAAAAACCAGTGTCCAGTTCAAGGGCTCTAAATATTTTTTTTGACCCAGGGGCCCTTTCAGTCTGGCTTCTCAGAATAATGTCTGTTTTTTGTTTTTATTTTTTTAAAGATTTTATTTTTAAGTAATCTCTGCACCCAATGTGGAGCTCGAAATTACAACCCTGAGATCAAGAGTTGCATGTTCCACTGACTGAGCCAACCAGGTGCCCCAGAACAATGTTTTTGAATGCATAAAACATCATACATAGGAAAACAAAGGAAACCAATTACACTGAAAATATGGTTACCAAAGTATAAAAATGTATAAATGTGTGATATAGGTAGTTCTTAATTTAATCTACTAAATACAAGATCTAACAGCAGTCTAATAACTGCCATGATTTTGATGTAGCAATGAGCATGAAAGATATTTTAAGATATCTGCAACAACAGTAATGTGATGTGAAAGTATTTGTGATTTCTATTAGTGACAAGTCACAGGTCCTGCTAACAGGATTGTGGTTGGATACTTATATTTGCAGTTGAAGGAAACACTTTTGTTAGGGATCACTGAAAATGAAGAGCAGATGTTTTTCTCTCACAGTCACTGATCTGCTAAACCTCAGGTTGAGAACCCCTGGGTTAGTCCCATCTCTTCATTTTAAAGGTGAGGAATCTTTTATCTGAAATATGTACAATGAGTTCAAATAAAATTAATTCAAAGGAAACCATGGGTCATGATCTCAGGGTCCTGGGATGGAGCCTCACGTTGTGTCGGGCTCCCTGCTCAGTAGGGAGTCTGCTTCTCCCTCTCCCTTTGCTTGTGTTCTCTCTCTCTCAAATAAATAAATAAAATCTAAAAAAAAAAAATTAATTGGGGCACCTGGGTGGCTCAGTCAGTTAAGCGTCTGTCTTTGGCTCGGGTCATGCTCCCTGGGTCCTGGGATTGAGTCCTGTATAGGGCTCCCTGCTCAGTGGACACCCTGCTTTTCCCTCTCCCTCTGCCTGCCGCTCCCCCTGCTTGTGCTCTCTCTCTCTGTCAAATAAATAAATAAATCTTTTAAAAAAATTTTAAAAAAAAGAAAGCCATTGGTAGAGTCTATGCAGTTGGCCTCTCTCAACTCAGCATACCTCCTTTAAGGAACTTGGGTTAAAACAAACACTTGGAAAAGGGAAGTTGCCCTTAAACCATTTCAGCTTTTTTAAAAATTGAAGTATATTAACATATAATGTTGCATTACTTTCATGTGTACAGCATAATGACTCAACAATTCTATACATGGCTCAGTGCTCGCCACAGTAAGTGTGGTCACCATCTGTCACCAAATAACATTATTACAATACTATTGACTATATTCCCCATGCTGTACTTTAAATTTCCATGACTTATTTATTTTATAACTGGAAGTTTGTACCTCTTAATCCCCTTTATCTATTTCACCATTCCCTCTCCCCCTCTCCCCTCTGGCAACCACCAGTTTGTTCTCTGTATTTAAGCATCTATTTTTTGTTTGTTCATTTCGTTCTTTCTTTTTTTAAAGATTTTATTTATTTATTTGAGAGAGAGAGATAGCACAAGCAGGGAGAGAGGCAGAAGGAGAGGGAGAAGCAGGCTCAGCTGGGCAAGGAGCCCAATGCAGGGCTCAATCCCAGGACCCTGGGATCATGACCTGAGCTGAAGGCAGACGCTTAACCAACTGAGCCACCCAGGTGCCCCATGTTTGTTTCTTTCTTTCTTTGTTCACTGGTTTTGTTTTTAGATTCCACATGTAAGCTAAATCATACGGTATTTGTCTTTCTCTGTCTGACTTACTTCATTTAGCATAATAACCTTGAGGTCCATCCATGTTGCCACAAAAACCATTTCTGCTTCCTGTTCCCTGTTTCTGGTCCCTAAGGCCTGCTTGGCACAAAGGACCCTGGGGAGGGGAGGTAAAAGAACTAAACTCAACTTAGTATCTCAATGAATTATGCTGCCACCATACTAAGATCAATAAGAAAGATGACATAATTAATTATTTAATTTTTTAATAAATGCCAACAATTGGATAAGTGATATACACAAATATCAAATCATTATGTTGTACACCTACAACTAATATTATGTCATATGTCAATTATGTCTCAATATAAAAAAAGAAATAATGTGACTATAGGTTTGGGATGTAAATTCCCCTGAACTGTATTTTGTTTTAATTAGATTCCATTCTGGGTTATTTTTGTGCTCCTATTCTGGTTATTTTTAATTTGACTTTTTAAAAATACATTTTCAGGGCACCTGGGTGGCTCAGTTGGTTAAGTGTCTGCCTTTGGCTCTGGTCATGATCTTGGGGCCCTGGGATAGAACCATGCTTCGGCCTCCCTGCTCAGCGGGGAGTCTGCTTCTTCTGCTCCTCCCCCACTTGTTCTTTCTCTCTCTGTCTCTCTTTCTCTCAGGCGTGCGCGCGTGCACGCACGTATGAGCGCTCTCTCTCTCTCTCTCAAATAAATAAAATATTTAAAAATAAATAAAATAAAAATACACTTTGTAAGGTATGGAGTAAGGCTGTAAAACATTTTTAAACCAAATAATTGACTAAATGTGGCAGAACAACTTATTGAATTCACGTCTCTACCATTGATTTATGATATCTCCTTTATCATGTATTAGATTATTAAATGTACTAGTATCTACTTCTTGAGTACATAATTCTTTTATTCTTGTGCCACTCCACTCTTGTGCTATACATAGACCCATCTAATTACATCTCTGAAATTTTGGACATTTGAACAATAAAAATAACAATAAAATAATAATAATATTTAAAAAGAAGTGTTCAAAAATGCCCTGTTAAAGAACAGAATGCCTAACCTTAAACTGAACTGTTGTCATCCA